AGGATGCTGCCTCCGTTTCACGTGGCAAAGCCAGATGCTGGGGAGGGAAACTGACTTTGACTCCTTATGATGTCTGTCTTTCTCTCCCACTCACGATCCGCTTCCATTCCCCATAGAAGACACTGTGAGAGCCAGGTGTACCCTGCACACACAGGGCTTGCACCACAGGAGAAGAACCCCCAAATTAGGAATCTTGGAGTGTCTCCCATATGACATCCTTTTTTCTGTGAGGAAGATCAGCCCTGAGCTAACATCCATGCTAATCCTCCTCTTTTTGCTGAGGAAGACTGGCTCTGAGCTAACATCTATTACCAATCCTCCTTTTTTTTCCCCAAAGCCCCAGTAGATAGTTGTATGTCACAGTTGCACATCCTCCTAGTTGCTGTATGTGGGACGCGGCCTCAGCATGGCCGGAGAAGCGGTGCATCGGTGCGCGCCCGGGATCCGAACCCGGGGCCGCCAGTAGCAGAGCGCTCGCACTTCACCGCTAAGCCACGGGGCCGGCCCATGAGATCCTTTTAATGTATAAATAGCCTCACAACTTTCTTTTAGGACAGACAAAAGGTCAAATTCTTTCCCCAGTTCAAATGGACCATTGAATGACAAGAAGCAGAACAAATTCCATTCTTAGCTGTTTTATCATCAGTTGCCAAATGACTTGTGGCTCTGACAATGGGGACGTCCCATTGGTAGAAGAAATGGACTAATCAAACACAATATAGCAGGAAGGGGACAATGAGGACGTCCCAAGGTAGAAGAAATGGATTAATGGAACCCAATAGAGCAGGAGGCGTACGGCACTGAAGAAACTGCGGACCAGCCTCCTACACGTCCTTGGTATGAATTGCTGTTTTTAACTTCTGGTTTGTGAACAACACCGCACATGGAGCCCAGGACCCAGGACGAGGCAAGTCAAAGAATCGGTCACTGTTTGAGAATGGGAAAACGACAAAAACAGCACATTCTTTTGTCATTTAAATTCTAGATCAAGGTCCATTTTGCTTTCCACAGCGGCCCTAATCACAAATGAAAGACTACTTTCACCTTAAATATTAGCTAAGGCATTTCCTTGCATGTCTGAGAAACAGACACCAGGACTGACTGCACACACCCAAAAACACCTGGTACCACCGCCCACCCCACCCGTCTGCTGTCCTGCTTTCTCAGGTCAGTCACACCCAGGATCCCCCTTTTCTCACGCCCAGCTTTCAACTTTTCACAGAATAGAAAGTAGCATGAGAGAAAAAAATGATGTTCAGAAGAGAACGACTTCATTTTCTTAAGAGCTTTCCAGCCCGTCAGACTCCTTCAAGGGTATGTTTCATTTTTAGAGTAGAAATCTAATGTTTTTAAAAACAACCAAAAAATCAGAGCCACCTGTCACTCTTAAATCGTAATGACCTCTAAGGTATGCTCGGCGCAGATGATACGCCCGGTTGGTGTATTTTTTCCCCTACGCTGGACACTGGGGGCAGAGAAAGTGACATGCTTTAGTTCTGCTATCTATTAAATAAGAATAGCCATATTATTCCATTCCAATTCTTTCTTGATCACAAATTCAGATTAGGGAGATTAAAAAAACCCCTCTAGCCTTTGAAGACCATGTTAGGACGAGGATATTTTTTCTAAGATGCTGTGCTGGCAGTTATAGTGATAGGCAAATGTGTGTGTTTCCAGATCAGTCACTGGAGAAGAATCCATGGGTAGTGTAGAGAAGAGGAGTCTGAGAGACGGTGGAGTTCAAATCCTGACTCTGAAGAGGGGACTGAGGCCCACATTGGTAAAGTGACCTGCCTGGGGCCAAACAAGGCCAAGATAAAACCTCTGGATCCAGTGCCCCCACCCCCGCCCCCATAACCCACTGGGCAGCTTGGCGCACTGTTGCAATTCCATCCAACAAGCTGAAGCTGTGGGTATGGCTCTGGGGTCCTCAGGCTACAAATGGCTCAGCCTCTGGAGCTCACCATTCCAGGCCTGATGACAACACCAAGGGCAGGGATCAGGTGCCCACCTCCACACACCAAGACTGACTGTTCAAAAACGCGCCATCAGTACAACGCATGTAGGGCATTACTCATAAGGCAAAAAGTTCTGATTCTTCTCTCCCGAGACGTTCAGACATACTCACGGTGAATCACGTACGTGCCCCAGCCTGGTTAACTGCAAACCACGCGGCTCAACCAGCAGCAGTCTCATTTAGAAGACGCTGTCCAACAGCAATAGAACATAAGCCACGTACGTTATTTTAAATTTTCTAGCGGCCACATTAAAAAAGGAAGAGAAACAGGTAAAATTAGCTTTAATAGCTCATCTAACCTAATACATCCAAAATGTTATCACTGCAATATGTAATCAGTATAAAATTTGAGATTTCATTCTAAATGATATTCCCTTAGGGATCTTCCTTTTAACAGATCTTTTCTTCTAAGAAGTTACCAAATGATGTTAACTATTGGACCCCTCCGGCCAACATGCCCACACTCACAACAATGGCACTCATTTATCAGCAGGTAACATACGCTAGATCCCACAAAAGGCACTTGCTAGAGACTCTGAATTCCCCAGGCAAGACGAAAGAGGCAGGTTATCTACACAGCACATAAAAGAAAACAGAAACCAGAAGATTTGAAGGTTTGAAGGTTTGAAGGTTACACAGCTAAGAAGTGCCAAGACAGAATCAAACCAGATCTGAGGGCAACATCTGTGCTCCTTCTATTCAAAATCTTTCTGCCCCAACTGCTTTTCTTGAAAGAGCCAGTATGTGAACCGTCTACATTTACTACACATGAGAAAAAGATTTGGGAAATGCAACAGTATACAGTTATACCACGTAAGTAACAAATTAATCCCAGGCTCAGTACCCAAGTCAGATTTTCTTTCCAGTATCATCCATAATACTTTATAAATCTGGATCATTCTGAATTTGGAGTTTTATACTCTGCTTTATTAAACAACCATATTAAAACCATTTTCTCCGCCCCCCCCCAAAGCCCCAGTAGATAGTTGTATGTCATAACTGCACATCCTTCTAGTTGCTGTATGTGGGACGCGGCCTCAGCATGGCGGGAGAAGCGGTCCATCAGTGCGAGCCCGGGGTTCCGAACCCGGGCCGCCAGCAGCGGAGTGCTTGCACTTAACCGCTAAGCCATGGGGCCGGCCCTTAAAATCATTTTCTTAGGCCAGCCCCGGTGGGCCAGTGGTTAGGTTCAGTGCACTCTGTTTCAGCAGCCCAGGTTTGTTTCCCAGGTGCAGACCTATACCACTCATCTGTCAGCAGCCATGCTGTGGCAGTGACTCACATACAAAAAGAGGAAGATTGGCAACAGATGTTAGCTCAGGGTGAATCTTCCTCAGAGGAAAAAAAAAAAAAAAAGAAAGAAAGAAAACGTTTTTTTAAAAAAGCACAAAACACCATTTTCTTAAGTCATTACCTCCAAACACATGGACTTTGACAGCCACAGAGATTTTATCAAGAACTCCAGCCTCTCTTCCCCTCTGAAAGATCATGTTCATTCAATCACTCAAAAAATACTGACTGAGCAAGCACAGGCCAGGCCCTATTGTGGGTGTTAGGGACAAAGTGGAGAACAGGATAGCAATGGCCTTTGCCTCCATGTGGTTTATATTCTCGAGGGGAAAATGGATACTATATATAGTGTCCAGTGCTAAAAAATAATAGGAAAAATGATAGGTGAGGGGCATGTAATGATTTTAGTTTACCTCCATTATTTATTAGGTTCGACCACACAAAATTGCTGATATTCATCCACTTCTTGACATACAGAATGGGCAATTTCACATGGTTCAACCTCATAGTTTTATTCCATTGGGCAACAATCAAGGACACTTCTGATGAATTAGAAATTATAATGAATCTCTACAAAGCAGAAGACACACAGAACTGGACTGAATAAACCTTCCCCCATAGCAGAAGAGGTAGGAGAGGCCCTGGGGTGTGGTAAGCTCAGAGGAAGTGATGGACTAAGGTGATGATCTGGGTGACCAGATGGGGGACTTCAGTAGGAGCCACCAAATGGTTTACACTCTGTGGTACTTCTCCCTACCAGTTTGACTCAAGGCACAGACTGCAGTCATCTGTCCCCATCCAGAGCACCCTGGGAGGTGGTTACCTCCACCACGAACTAGGGGGCTGGGAGGTGGGGGTAGCAGGGCAGGAATCCCTAGGAGACCACCACGTTACCTTGTGATTTCTTCAACAACTTCTAAGTACAGAAAAAGCCCAGGATCTTGGCAGTCTATTATTGTTGAATTTTTTGGTAAAGGAACATTAATACATTACCTGTGCAACTAATTAACAAAAACATCCCTTGCTCCTAAATCTACTGATGGACCTTAACATCACGAAAAGACAATCAAACATTCCATGTCTCCTGATACGACGCAGAAGTGAGGATGCCTGCCAAGAATTCAAACCTGGTTCTGATCAGGCCTCCAGAGCTAACCACAGGTTTACAGCAAACACTGGGGACAGGGAAAGACACAAAATGACAATGAAGGAGGCAGTCAGTAAAATCCAGAATGTGAGGACTCTACAGGACAAAAAGAAAAAAGAGAAGTGGAAACCTCCAGACTTTTCGAAAAGTCTTATTAATAAGCTCACATGTGTAACGAGTGGACCTCCTCTGGACTCGTATTTGAACAAACCAACTGCAAAAAAAAAACAAGTCTGTGAGACAACAGGGAAAAGGAGAGAGCTGCCTAAATACCTAATACTAAGGAAATATTACGTAATTTGCTTATTTTTGAAGAGTCTATCTTTTAAAGTTACAAACTACAGTGAATTCATAAATGTTAAAGCTGAGAATTAGGAACTTGAGAGTTTATGAGTCTTATTTTATATATGTTTAAAAACTCCCACAATAAAAAGCTTAAAGCAAGTCTGTGGGCCTATTCCCCTCATCCCCCAGGTCTCCACACACTGTCCCTTTGAGCTGGGGATGCTCTTACAAGAGCCTCAAACCTCTTAGATGACCGCTCACCTGTCAATGAACTGATCGATAATGATAATATCGCCGGGCTGAATCTCTTCCCTCAAAGACCCACAAGCAGTGGTCACTACAATGTGTGTGCAACCCTCCTCCTTCAGGGCCCAGATGTTTGCCTGGTAGTTGACTTTCGAGGGCATGATGGTATGCTGCCTCCCGTGCCTGCAGGAAGGAGAGGAAATATGGTAGGGAGTGAGCAGGGCATTTTAATACTGTTAGAAAAGAAAAAGGATTTACAGCAGTGCCTTCACACTCTTTCCACCAACGCACTTTCCTTGGCAGAGGAAGAATTAGAAGAGGTCTGGCAATAACTAGCCTACTGTAAGTAGAAACTATTCAGTCTTAAAGTGCAGGCCAGCTTTACATTCTATGTATTCATCTTCCTGTCAAGAGGAGGTAATAACTTAATTAGAATTCACTCTCGGGCCGGCCCTGTGGCTTGGTGGTTAAGTGCGCGCACTGCAATGCTGGTGGCCCGGGTTCGGATCCCGGGTGCGCATCAAGGCACCACTTCTCCGTCCATCCTGAGGCCGAGTCCCACATACAGCAACTAGAAGGATGTGCAGCTATGACATACAACTATCTACTGGGGCTTTGGGGGGAAAAAATTAAATAAATAAAATCTTTAAAAAAAAAAAAAAAAAATTCACTCTCCAGGAAGGTGTACTGTGTCTATCCTGGGGGGCACCAAATGCCCCAGAATCTGAGGCATCTGGCCTCACATGAGACACAACACAGAAAACTAGAGGTGCGAATGAAGAAAGACACAACATAGAAACTCCAATTTCCAGCTGACTCTCTCCATTCCCTTCTGTCTGATCACCTAAATAAATTAATCAAACATTTAAAATAGAGTTCCCAGTTTTGAAGGTTTTGTCCAAGAACTGATCACCTCACGCATGACCACTGTTATGGGCTGAATTGTGTCCCCCCCCAAATTCATGTTGAAGTCCTAAACCCCAGGACGTCAGAATGTGACTGTATTTGGAGAGAGGGTCTTTAAGGAGGTAATTAAGTTACCCTAGCTCTGCCACTTACTAGCCATGTGACCTTATCAAAGTCACTGAGCTCTCTTGGCTCAATTTCTTTTCATCTGTAAAATGCATAATAAAAATATCTCCACCACAGGGTTATCATTAAATATCCCTTGTATCATCCCATAGACATATTTTAAAAAAAAATTTAATGTCTTTTCTGGTCACTGACAATAGAATTATTAAAAACATTAAAATAATTTGTACATTGGGGCTGGCCCAGCGGCACAGTGGTTAAGTTCACATGATCTGCTTCGGCGGCCCGGAGTTCGCAGGCCCAGATCCCTGGCACGTACTGCTTGTCAAGCCATGCTGTGGCGGCGTCCCATATAAAGTAGAGGAAGATGGGCACGGATGTTAGCCCAGGGCCAATTGTCCTCAGCAAAAAGAGGACTGGTAACGGATGTTAGCTCAGGGCTAATCTTCCTCAAAAAAAAAAAATAAATAAATAAATAAAAATAAAAAAACAATAATTTGTACATAATTTCAGATAAGCATAACATATCCCGATTTTTACCCTGAATTCACAGATGACCTCTCAAAAGGTAGAGGCCCATGAATGTCCAGAAAGTATATGCATTTTCCTAAGGCTGGTCTCCAAAACTCGGATTAGACTTTCCAAAGAAATTAAAAAATCGAAAGTAATTAAGAACCACTGCATTAGAGGCTCAAATAGTTCACAGTGCAACACATTTCAGTTCTGTTGGTACAAGTATAAAACTCTCATCACAGGGCCACACCACCAACTGTTTTCACCTAGAGCCTGGAAAAAATTAAGTGATTCTCAAGCAATGACCACAGACCAACAAAGAAGGTTGCCTGAAATTGACCCCATGTAACCATCTAAAAGTGAAATTTAGTTTTACTGGATTCAGCTAAACTTTTATTTATTTATTTTTTAATTGAGGTCATACTGGCTTACAACATTGTATAAATTTCAGGTGTACATTATATATATCAGTTTCTGTATAGAATGAATCATGTTTACCACCAAAAGTCTACTTTTTATCCGTCACTATACATATGTGCCCCTTTATCCCTTTCTCCGACTCCCCACCTCTTCCCCCTCTGGTAACCACTAATCCGTTCTCCTTCTCCATGTGTTTGTTTATCTTCTACATAAGAGTGAAATCATATGGTGTTTGTCTTTCTCTGTCTGGCTTATTTCGCTTAACATAATACCCTCAAGGTCCACCCATGTTGTCACAAATGGCATGATTTTGTCTTTTTTTATGGTTGAGTAGTATTTCACCGTATATATATATACACCACTTCTTCTTTATTCATTCATTTGTAGTTGGGCACTTGGGTTGCTTCCATGTTTTGGCTACTGTGAATAATGCTGCGATGAACATAGGGGTGCATAAATCTCTTTGAATTGTTGATTGCATGTTCTTTGGATAAATACCCAGTAGTGGGATAGCTGGATCATAAGGTATTTTTCCAGAAATCTCTCTACTGTTTTCCATAGTGGCTGCACCAGTTTGCATTCCCACTAGCAGTGTATGAAGGTTCCCTTTTCTCCACATCCTCTCCAACTTTTCCTACTTCTTGTCTTGTTAATTATAGCTATTCTGATGGGTGTGAGGTGATGTTTCATTATAGTTTTGATTTGCATTTCCCTAATAATTAGTGATGTTAAACATCTTTTCATGTACCTGTTGGCCATCCGTATACCTTCTTTGGAAAAATGTCTGTTCATATCCTTTGCTCATTTTTTGATCAGGTTGTTTGTTTTTTCATTGTTGAGTTGTATGAGTTCTTTACATATTTTGGATATTACCCCTTGTCAGATATATGATTTGCAAATATTTTCTCTCAGTTGGTGGGTTGTCTTTTCATTTTGTTCATGGTTTCCTTTGCCTTGCAGAATCAGCTAAGCCATTTCTGTTTCAAAAATGCAGTGTGGCAGACAGATCCTAGGGTGGTCCCCATTTTCATGCTCTGAATAATTCCCTCCTCCTTGACTGAAGGGGGACCCAAGACTTGCTTCCAACCAACAGAATACAGCAAAGGTGCTGGGAGTCCCGCCCATGATCAGGCTCCATCTTGCCAGCACACACTAGAGACTCTTCTACCGGCCTTGAAGGAGCAAGCTGTTATCACATGAACTGGCCATGGAGAGGTCCACGTGGCAGGGAACGTGGACAGCCTCTAGGAGCTGAAGGCCTCAGTCCTATAATCACGGGAACTGAATTCTGCCAGTGAACGAGGACCTGGAGCTCCAGATGAGAGCAAGCCCTGGAGTGACCTTGTGTGACCCTAAAGAGAGGACGCAGCTAAGTTGTGCCCACACTCCTGTTCCCCAGGAAACTGTGCGATAATGTGTGCTATTTTAAGCTGCTAAATTTGTGGGAATTTGTTATGCAGCAATGGAAAGCTAATACAAGTAGTTTGACTAATTTCCAACTGTGTGATAAAAATAATTTGCCTCCTCTATAATATGGAACAGCACTAGCCTTGTCAAGAAAGCAAGGGTGTGGATACCACAGGGAACCCATTTCAGGGACTGGAAACCCACTCCCCGAAAATTTAGAACTATTACTACACAAGGGGTCATGAACGAAGCAGTTTTGCTTTATCTTGTTAATTAAAAAAAGAAGAGGGAAAAAAAAAAAAACACAACCAAGAAAACATTTCTTCTTGTAGCTAGAACTGAAACCAGAGCTTCAATTTTAGTCAAACTCATCTTATCACTCAATGGATTACTCTAACCACTTTCTCAGCCTGAGTGGCTGGGGAAGGGGGGTTGATCTCAAAAGTCAATATAACGTCCAAAATCCTAAGCAGTAAATCACGGTGACTAAGATACTCTGGCTCCACCAACACAGAAAAACTCATGCCAGCATCATTACTCTTTCTAGAATGTACGTTAAATTTAAATTCTCCTTTAGTAACAATCAAAATGCTTTAAAATACCTTACCTTGCAAGGAGGATGCAATCAACATTCTTTATCTTCCCCAGAATTAAGGCATCAGAAGGCTGCACACAATGAAAAATGGTTACAATGCAGTGACTTGAAAACATATATAAAAACAATTAAAAAGCTACCATTTCAACTGTTCAACCACAATAGGATTCATGGAAACTTGGGAGCTTGAAGATACACTTTAAAGAAGTAAAAAAGTCTAGATTTGATTGATCAACTTAATCACTCAATCAATCTCAACTGAGCCCTCTATAAGCACAGAGATTCACAGGACTCAGAAGATTGCCCTGGGCACGTGGGTAGGTACCATTTAGTGAGATCTATTTGTAGCAAGCATCCCAGGGGACTCTGACAATAGCCCAGTCAACTACAGATGTGTCAAGGGTATCTGGCAGGTTCAAGAACAGGTGTGAGAGTGAAACAGAAACAGAGGGGGCCACTGCCATGGAATTTAAGAACTCAGCACTGGACCTGTTTGCTGTGTTAACCAGGTCTAAGATGGCCATGGGGTGACCTGAGGTAACAGAGGGAAAGGTCCTGAGAACTGAGGGGGTTAAGAAAACATGAGGGTAGGGGCCAGCTCGGTGGTGTAGTGGTTAAGTTTGCGTGTTCCACTTCGGCGGCCTGGGGTTCACAGGTTCACATCCTGGGGCACAGACCTCTGCACCGCTCATGAAGCCATGCTGTGGCAGCATCCCACTTATAAAGTAAAGGAAGATGGGCACGGATGTTAGCACAGAACCAATCTTCCTCAGCAAAAAGAGGAGGATTGGCAATGGATGTTAGTTCAGGGCTAATCTTCCTCACCAAAAAAAAAAAAAAAAAAAAAAATGAAAGAAAACATGAGGGTAAGAAGTGAGCCAAGCTGACCGCAGGACTTGCAGGACATGAGGCCCATCTTAGGACTTGGCTGAAAAGGAGAGAGTTTAGTTGAGACTGCCAGACACAGGGATCTTCACAGGAGGATGAGAGGAACTCTGATGTTTGGAAAGAGCACTACGGAATCAGGAGAAGGCAGACACCCTCATGCCAGCTGGATGACATGTGGCTGGAGAACAAACAGGCTCCTTTTAACAGGAAAGTTTAATAGAAAAGTTATTTCCAGTTCAGTTATGCAATCACGTTCTAGATCCCCAAGAAATCCCCCTTTGGGCCAGGGCTTAGTACGAAAAGGCCATTGGCAATGACATTTTCTCCCATCTGCAATCAGTCTCCTAAATTAGTGTGGTATGACATATAGGCCCCAAATTAGAAGCTGATTTGAATGCAGAGATCTGAAAAGTACAGTTGCTATGGCTGAAATGAGTAGCTGGCTTCTAGGGACAGAAATTGAGAAGTTATTGCACATGTTCAAAAGCCATGTTCTCTACTGTATGCTCAAGGCATCCCTAGGGACACTGTCTCAGCCACTGGAACCCGATGACGGGACTCCTGGCCCCTCTCAGTCAGGGGCACGCAGCCCTGGGCTGCCAAGACAAAAGCAATTAAAAGTTTTTTTTAAATTTTTAAACTTAAAAATCAAGCCAGCAAGGAGAAAGGAAAAAGCTAGTATGTCTTCACTAACTGAATATGAACCTTGCCAAATGGAGTATCCACATATTTTTCAGTTCTTCCTTCTAAGATTTCTGGATCATCCAGGCCTGTTCCACCAATTATTCCAATCTAAGGGAGACAAGAAAAAGATACCATATTTGATCATTTTTTCATTAGAAACAAAATCATTATTTTAAGCAAATTCATTTATTCATACTCAAATGCTCTTCTCCATTCTTGCTAAGCCCTATTTTTTAAAAAAATCTGAACATTACTGAAAAGCAATCATTTATTCAACAAACATTTGAAGGCCTTCTATAGTCTAGAAATAACCAAAGCATGGGTCTATTGGGCTCAACATATTTGAATAACAAATTAGCAGAGAATGGTAATTTAACTAGCTTAGAAAACCAAACCTAAAAATAGACAAATGTGGTTGTGGAAAGTACTTTCTAACCAATTTTATTTTCTTTACTAAATGGGCTACGGAATAAAGAATGTTCAAAAGACTGCTAGGATAGAAAATATTCAGTATACTCATTTGGTAATGATTTCTCCTCATTACCCCATTTGATAAAGAAAGAGAGATTTTTCTGTCCTATGCCACTAAAATCCCAGAGCTGTAAGGGATCACAGATAGAGGAGCCTGGAATAGCATGAAACGTTAGCCTCATGTATACTTATGAAATCCAACTGTCATTTATATACATATGTAAATCTAAGTAAGTAATTCAAAGGTAGTTCCATATTTTTTTCAGTTCAAGTGCTGTATTGCATTTTCCAGAGATTAATTTAACATTCCTTGTCTTCAGGGATTAATTGGAGTTAAAGAAACTTGGTACCACCCTCTAGAGTAATCTAATTTGATGACTAAGAAACACAAACAAGAACAATTACAAAGATAACTAAATATTAACTAAACTGTTAACTAAAAACTAAATAACTGAAATCATTAGGAAGGTTTATTAGGGCTGATAGTTCCCAAAGGAGAAACAGTAATTAAATTGTCCCGTTTAAATTTAAACAGGCTATAGAGATGACACTGTAGTACAAATCTAATGGAAAGGGACCTGAGCATCTTTTTTTCAATGAAAAGCTTTAATCTATTGTCACTTGAGTAAAATTTCTACCAAATGAAAAAAAGTAGCTTCTTGAGAAAAAAATTCCAGAGTTAAGAATTAACTGAACATCTGAATAAAATAATTTTCAGATCAGGTTCCAAAAGTGGCCTTATATTAATATGTGGGAAAATGGTTACCTCTCTGGCCCTCAGTTTCCCTAAAAAAAAAAAAAACTACAGAACAAGAAAGTAAGGGCAATTTAGTAAGATTTTACTGAAGAACAGCCAGTTACATGATTTAGAATTTCAAAAGTGCCCCCACGGCTTCCTTACGCGGCTAAACCAGTTTTTGAAGTTGGTGCCACCTTGTGGTACATTGTTGAAACCACAGCAGGTGACATGTTCTATGCCAACCCCACATTTCTCTCCTACCTTATTACAACTTAACATCATAGGTAAAAACTAACCAATATTACAGTTTTCAAATCAACAAAAGTGTTCACTTAAGTCAGTACATTTAAATCATGCCAATTCAGTAGAAATTAAAAAAAAAAAAAAATCACAGTTTTATGCAATGCTAACCCTTCCTCTAGCTGGCTTCTCCATTTTCTCCTTCATTCCACATACCTCTGACGCACCACAAATCACGGGGGGCCTAATAAACTGTCCAGCCTGTGTCATCACCCAGACCACAGAACTGAATTGCTGACTCTAAAATTATTCTCAGCCTAGTCTTCGGGATTCTGCTGTTCATGAAAACTTCCAGGTTTTTTTTTTTGTTTTTTACTTATGTCCACTTTGACTTGGTCACTTCTAGATGTTCCCTGGGCCATGGCATCTCCCATTCTAGATTCAACACTGGCCTCTCAGACTCGTATATACACAACGAAACCTACACTTTGTTCTGAAACCATCCTCTCAATTTAGCCAGCATTGCAGCAGTGGGTAAGAAACGCTGACTAGGGGTCCTGCTGACGTTCAGTGCCCTGGAGCCCACCCTCAGCAGCCCCCAGCTTCAGTCCACACCACCCTGGCTACACCTTTTCTGCACTAGTAGCTGGTAACTCAGCCCTCAGCGAGGAACACGTAGTACTGGCCACGAGAATAAGAGCGGCTGCTGCTCACCAGAAAGGCCAGCATGGGGTTCTGGCACCGGAATTATCTGCAGGCGAGCGCACCCGGTCACCCAACCAGCTCTAGCTGTTTACGGAAAACCATATCTTGCCATGGGTACAGGACAAGTGTAGTGACTGAGCACTGCCACCCCACACCAGCAACCTCTAACCATTTTCCTGCTGCAGATGGAGGCCAGCAGTGCCAAGATGTGGCAATGGCGCCACCTGCTGGCCCCATGGCAAAGTACAACGAGGATGAAACTCGCAAGCCTGATGGCCTACGTCTGTCCACCCCTGAGCCTCCAAATTCGACAATCAACTCAGTACCTGCCTTGGTAACAAAGTAACTGTGTCTGAGCACTTACATGTCACAGGCACTGTGCTGCTTCAGCCGCCTTACCTCATTTGATCTTCACAACCACCCTATAAGATAGGCCCTACAGTATTATACTCATTTTACACAAGAGAAAGGAGAAGCATAAAAATTAAGAAACTTGTCCAAGAGCAAATCATAAGAAGCAAAGCTGGAATAGGAACCCAGGTCTTTCACACTCAACCATGACGATATGCTACCTCTTCAAATGCCCTGGAGTCCTTTTATAACATCACACCCTATTAGAAAAGTTTTACTGTCTCCATGTATTAAGGAAACTGATGCTCAGTTACTGTCTCCATGTATTGAGGAAACTGATGCTCAGAGAGGTCAAGTTCTGGACCAAGGTCACAGAGCACAGAAACGATGGCTCTGTGTGTCTAAGTGAACTTGGAGGGGAGGGGGGTCTCCATCAGAGATGTCATCCACACTCAGGAAGCAATGACAAGACCTTACCAGGCTCCTGGGCCAGAAGCATCAGCCCTCAATCCAGGCAATCCTAGGCTGCCTAGAAAATGTGTTCCAGGATGGAGATGAAATTTCTGGGCCACTTCTGTGCAGCCAGGACTCCTTCATTACACAAGATCAAGTTCTGAAACTGGGACCCCTCGGTCAATCAAGGTCATTGCCAAATTCTGACAATTAGTGGTTCATCCCACACTTTTCCACTGACAGAGCACCAAGTCAATACGCATAAAAAGAGGAGAGGGTTTGACTTCCTCTCTGAGACTGTGAAAGCATTTCATCTAAAAGTTGGCTTACCTGACCAGAATGGTTACTTCCAGCAATGCTAAAAGGGCCCCTACTAACCCCTACCCTGCATCTATTTCCCCTGGTACCTGGACCCAGAAGATGTCACACACCTCACCTGGTTTCAGGAACCACTCACCATCACTTTGGGGCCTGGACACGCTACCTCAAGGAACCTAGCACTCAGTGATGGCATTCTCAAAACCCCATACCCCCAAGCAGTGGAGATTAGCTCCTGCCACGGAGATGGCTGCCTCTGAGGGCCTTGAGCTCATGATGAGGCAAGGGAGCCAGAGCTCGAGCTGGCGGCAATCCCTGATCTGAGCATCTCAGTCCTTCAGCTCTGGCTGCCAGTGACAAGTTTGGCAAGCACAGCAGACAAAAGCCCTTCTTATTGGGCCGACCTGGCTTTGAGGCCACCCAGGCCGTTGCAAAATCCCGGAAGTCCAGCTGTATGGGGAGAGTGGCCAAATGTCGCAGCTGGAGAGGCCCATTCAAAACCAACAATATGGCCCGTGGAGATAACGGGTGGCTCCATCTCTGACAAGACACCTCTCTCTGTAAACCACCCTGGTAGGTGATGCTTATGGGTTGAATTGTTTCCCCCCCAAATCCATATGTTGAAGTCCTAACCCCCGATACCGCAGAATGAGACCATATTTGGAAATAGGGTCTTTGAAGAGGTAATTACAGTTAAATGAGGTCATGGGCAGGCCCTAATCCAATATGACTGGTGTCCCTGTGAAAAGAGATTAGGACACAGACATGCAAATAGGGGAGACCGTGTGAAGACACAGGAAGAAGATGGCCATCTGAAGCCAAGGAGAGAGGCCTCAAAAGAAACCAACCCTACTGACACCTTGATCTTGGACTTCCAACATCCAGAACTATGAGGAATGAATTTCTGTTGCTTAAGCTACCCAGTCTGTGGTACTTTGTTATGGCGGCCCTAGCAAACTAACACAGTAACGCTACACAGTCACGCACCACATAATGACATTTTGGTCAACATATACGACGGTGGCCCCATAAGACTAGCACCATATAGCCTAGGTGTGTAGTGGGCTGTACCATCTAACTTTGTGTAAGCACACTCTACGATGTTTGCACAACAACCAAATCGCCTAACGATGCACTTCTCAGAACGCGTCCCTGTTGTTAAGTGACACATGACTGTATTTCAGTCAGTCTGAGGGCTCAGGACATCTGTTTTTTTATTTAAACAACAACCTCTTGCAAAGTCAAGATATTATTCGAACGGGTAGACACTCTCTTGAAGGTACAGTTCACCTCCTGAAATGGCCAATTGTTTTGAGGAGGATTTCCCTCCACGCTTACTGTACTCTGTAGAGCTCCCCTTCGCTTGCGGAACAGCAGCAGGATTCTTCTGGGTGCTCCTCCGGGGTCAGCTGCTGGACACTACAATCCCCCGGGGAGCTGTCAATACCGAAGCCCAGGGCCCAGACACCAGAGATGCTGATTAATCGGGCAAGGCAGAGTTTGTGTTCTTCAGGTTCCTCAGGTGGTTCTAATGCACAGCCAGAATTGAGCACCCCTGCTCCAGGGCCCAGACCATAAATTTTCAAAATCTGGACTAGCTGTGTGTCACAGGTTGAATAACAGCCCCCGAAAGGGATCCTATCTGCGTCCTAATCCCCAGAACCTGTGAACCTGTGAACGTTACCTTATGTGATTAAGTTAAGGATCTAGAGATGGAGATTATCCTGGATTATCTGGGTGGGCCCCTAATGTAATCACGAGTCCTTATAAGAAGGTCAAAGAGGAAGAAAGCGATATGATGGTCGAAGCAGAGGGATGTAAGGTGATGCGATGTGGGCCATGAACCAAGGGAAGCTGGTGACCTCTAGAAGCTGGAAAAGGCAAGGAAACGGAGTCTCCTTAGATCCTCCAAGAGGACCCGCCCTACTGACACCCTGATTGTAGCCCCGTGGGACTCATTCTGGACTTCTGACCTCCAGAACTGTAAGAGAAGACATTTGTGCTGTCTCAAGCCATCCAGTCTGCGGGACTTGTTACAGCAGCCGTAGGAAACTAGTACACGAGGACTCACCTGAAAAGCTGGTGAAAAATGCAGATGCCCAGCCTTTTGAAAGCTCCCTGGTCAGTGGCTGTCACACTTTCCTGGGCATCTGAATTCAGTGAGGCTCTTTACAAGCCACATTGCTGGGCCTCAACCCCCAGAGTTCCTGACTCAGCCAGGCTGGGGTGGGGCCCAAGAATTTGCATTTCTAACAAATTCCCAAGTGGGCCTTGAGAACCACTGCTTTAGATGCTTCTGAGGCACAGACCAGACTACCATGATTATAATCCCAGTTAAGGATCTAGGGTCCAATTTACACAAAAATTTATATCACCTGTTTCCTCATCTGTGCCTATAAGCGTAAGATTCTTCCTTAATATGGAGAATTATGAGAATCAAATAAAATAATGCATTACTATCTGTCACTGTTTCTGTACACCCTCCCACCTCCAGCAAAACCAAAACCAAAACAGACTTCCTCAAAGCAACAAGATTTTGTTTTTCTTTGCTGGTCAGGGCATAAATCTGGCTGCTCTGATATCTCCTCACCAGGCTGTCTCTGTCTTGAGGATTTAGCCCAGGGTCCCTCAACCAAGTGTGAATTGGCTCTCCCGGGGGTGTCCGGAAACTTACGGGGACATTTCTGGCTGCCACAATGTCTGGGGGGAGTGGTACTAGCATTTGGTGGAGAGGGGCCAAGGATGTACTATACGTCCTGCAAGGCTCAGGATAGTCCTACAAAAGAAGGACTTGTCCTGCTCTAACTGCAACTGTGTCCCTAGGCAAAAGATTGAAGGCTTGTTGGTCATTTGGTTTCCATTTGGGGCCTGTGAGTTGTCCCCAAGGTTCTGAGGGTCACTCAAGGCCTTTCAGTCTGAAGGTCTTTGCTGGCCACAATCAGCCAAAAAAAGAGCTTATAAGGCCCATTCTCCACAGTTTAGACTCCACGACTTGCCTGTCCCCCTTAATACCATTTTGTTAAAAGCCCACTACCCACCTATGATGGGACCATATCTCCTCCTTGCTATAGCAACCATGATTAACAATTTACTTATTTTTAATCCTTCAGAGCAAAAGCCTGGACTGCTGCCTGGGGGAGCGATAGCTCATTGAAGGAGCGCTCCAGGATGCCCTTCCTGGTTGGTTCAGCCCTCTGCATACCACCCACCCATGGCGATGAGGACATCTCCCTGAGGTCCTCCCAGACAATGGCTGTTATCAATACTACGGGAGAGCATCTAGTGGGCACAAGGAGGCAGCCTGTTTTATGCTCTCACTCCACACTCCCTCTGCCTTAAGGCTGCAGGATCTCCTTACTTACACAATGAAACAGGGCACAGAGACCACATGTCAGATTTCAGAAATGCCTCACAACGTCTAGTTGGTCAGACGCCAGGCTCTAGGCCCAATTCTATCACTATCTAGGTCCAACTGTGTAACTAGACACCTTAGTTGACCTTTCTGGAGCTCAGCTTTATGTCCACAAAAAGGGGTTTGTGTGGCTCTGTGGTCTTAAGGAACATTCCAGCTCTGCATCCTATGATCTGGGAATAGGATGTGGTTTTTATAAGCCCATTTTGCTCTGGACACTAGCACCTCGTATTTTCTATATGGGACGTTGTCTCAGCGGTGGGGGATTTGGTGTTGGCATCACAGATTCTCAAGAGCAAAGCTGTCACCTTTCCAACCTCAAAGACAGAAATCAGCAGGCAGGCCCAGCACTATTTGTACCTCTTAATTTTATATCCAGCCACTCACCAAGACCAAAAATATACATCATTCGATATTTACATCACAGTGCCCACTCGGCACTTAGTGCCCTGCACCAATACTACAGGGCAACTGGGTGCAGGGAGAACGAGGAACCAGATTAAAGTGACACAGTTATAAACACCATCCCTCTCTGCTCTCAGTATCACTGTAAGTGTATTCCTGTAAGGGACAGGTGACAGTGTCCTGCCTGTCCACTGATGGCCAGGGGCTAATGATACCTATCGTAATAATTTAATTGTTGGAGAAAAGATATTCAAAATTAACCTCACCTCCCCTACTAAGAAGCACTACCATTTAATAAGTTTCAACCACGTGCTAGGCCGACAACACAATTCTAAATGTCCCAGCAAACCCTGCAGTAAAACCCCCACTTTATAGATGGGCACCTAACTTTGCAAATGAGCTTCACAAAAACTCTTTCTGCCTTGTTCTCCGTGACTGGTAAGGGAGAGGCGTTCTACCAATATCTGATGAATGCAAGATTCTTTTCCAAATGGCCAAAGGAGTTTCAAATCTAAGTGTGCCTGTGACCCCCGCCCCCCCCCCCCCCCCCCCCCCCGCCCCGCAACCGCCATCATAAGTGTCTCATTAAGAGCTGCAAGGACCTAATAAACGAATCAACGAATCCCTCTGGCTGATTTAACGCTGACCAAAGAGAATTGCCTTCTCCTGGGAGAACTGAACACAAAGCCGGGAATTACAAGAGATAACCTGGAGAAGCGGTGGACCTTCCTATCCAACTGGCCAAGAATTTCTCAAGTCAAACAAGTTAAGTGGGTTTAGCCAATCATAAACAGCCTAGAAGAGATCTGAAAATTGATCACCAATTTTTCCTCATGCACTGCAATTCCACACTCTCTCCCGCGAGGCACCAACCATCACTTAAAGAAGTGTTTAAAGCCCCAGGGAAGCTCGCTGCACCCTTCAGAACTCGTGCTCTCCTCTGGTCAAAGCTCCCACCGCACAATGATCCTTTGTACGGAAACCTCTGAGGTCCGAGTGCACAAGAAAACTGATCTCTAACTTTCAAGGTTGCAAACAAAGCAGTTTAAAGCCCGAGTCCCCCAAACAGGGAGCGGCCCTGTACTGGACTCCATTTCGGTGTTGGAAAGAAATCTCAGAATCCCCAAAGCATTGCGCTGCAGGGGAAAACTTCAGAACAGAAGGCCTACTTTCGGAAGAAAAAACCAAGCCGGAAGCTTGCAAAAGAGCAAGCACGCAGTTCTCCCACGTGGGCCGCAGGGCAGTGAGCAGAGCGAGAGCGGAAGCGTGAATCAGGCAGGACTCAAGGAGAGGGTCTCACCAGCTGCAGGCACCCCTCACCTGGCACACCCACTAGCCCCAGACAGATGCATCTCCCTGGGAAGGAATGGCGCTTGGGATGGGTTGGGGGCCGGACGCAGCACCCCCTACCACCCCACTCCAAAGGGCTTGCCCACGCCCTGCCTGGTGCGGAGGCATCTGAGACGAAAGGTGGGAGGCCGAGTTTGCAAGCCTTCCCTGGCCCCCTGCTTCCCGCCCCTGGGAGAACCGGCCCGGATGCCGTGCCCCAGACCCTCCCCGCCGCGGCGGGGGCGCGCAGGCAGGGCGCATGGTCCGGAGGCGCAGTCCCCTGGGGCGGGAGCGAGAGAGCACAGAGCAGGGCGGACCGCAGCCGCCGACACCGCCAATCTCACCTTCACGGCCGCGGGGATGGCACCTGAGGCCATGTCTGCTCGAGGGGGGCAGGCGCGAGGAGCAGGCTGCGATAGCGGGTGCGCGGGGCCGAGAGCGCAGCGGGTTCAAGGGCGCAGCGCCGGACAGAGCCGAGCAGAGTCCGGGGGCGGCCCTGGCTCCTCCTCTTCCTCCCGGGGACAGCTGGATTGGCTGCTTGTGTGGGATCGCCCCCGCCACCCCCCTCCTCAATTCGAGGTTCCCGCCTCCTGCCCCTTGCACAGACTTTTCCGGTTCTTGGTTGTCTTTTTACCATGGTCAGTTATAACGGATTCAGGATGATGATGATAATGGAGACGGTTTATTGAGCACACTGTCGTTCCAGACTCGGTGCTTTGCACTTGAATCAGCCCTTTAACTTTCACAAGAACCCTACAGGGGGAGCAGCACTCCTGGCTCTGCCCAGCATTAGCTGCGTCCAAGGCTCATCTGTAAAATCAGGCCCGTCTGCATTCCAGAAGTTTTCGGGGAAAGGAGAATCCCCCAGAGGAAGGAACAGGCTGTTTCCAAAGATTTGCTCTGGCTGCTAACCCGGGGCGGAGTGCGGTTTGCTCTTCCTAACGCAGTGACCCGACCAGAGGTTTGCTCCTTTTCCTTAATTCCTGGGGGACAGAGCAGGAATGGGGTTGACTCGAGACTCAGGGATGATAAAAAGGAAACAGAGTAACATGCTGCTGGATAAACTTTCTGATTTACAAACTATGGCTTACTCATCTTCAATTTGAGGGGAGACTTTTAAAGGGGATGAAACACTGCCTAACTCCCACCCTGGCTATCTTGAACCTCTCCCACCCCCCGCAGAGTCCCATACACCTACGTTCTGAGTCCAGACTCACGTCTTCATCATTCAACACTGGCTGGTCACCACCATGCCGCCCCGGCCCCTTGTCCCAAACACACACAGGACAGCAGCCCTCCACTAGGATAATCCCTTACTCTCAAAATCACCAACCTTTCTCTACTAGGATAATCCAATTTAACCTCGCTTGATGGATTAAGGTCTCCTAAACTGAATGGGTGACAGTGATGTTCTGAGATACAGAAATGCTGCAAATTTCTCTGGGGGTGGGAGGATGGCTGTGGAAGTGAAACGGAGAACGAAGAAGTTAAAAATCTTCCCTAGAACAAAAACTTGGAGATAAGCTTTGCTAACTTGCAGGTCAGAGATCAAGCACTTGCTCTTGGATATGTGATGTCTGCGAAGGGAAAATTGTCCCAAGTCTAGTTTGGTTTTGTTGAGTGATGTAATTCACAAGCCATTTCTGGGAAGAAATTAGCATTTCTAGATAAAATTTAAGCAATTTTCTAACCTCTTCTGAGAGATCAGGCACTAATTTGTATGGGGCATGCATTCAAGACCAATTGACCCACCTCCAAGGGGACTCTCACAGTTTTCATCATTATGCATTATGAAAAAAAACCCATACAAATGCTTAGATGCATGGGACTGGCCAACTGTAAGTGATTTGAACTCATAACAGCCGCTACAGGGTTCTCTTAATAAAAGAATCCATTTTAGAAGTATATGTCAAAATAAGATTTCAGAAAGTTAAAAACATAATATTCAAACAAATATATAGTCAGCCCGTGTCAGAGATGTATTTAACTCATTAGAAAAGGAACTAGCAGGATGACAAAGCTCGTTCAAAGGATATAAGAAGCTGAAATAGCAGAAAAAAGAATGTTAGAATAAGATTAAAAAATTAGATACCAAACTGATTTTTGTTTTACAAGGCAGTAAACTGTAGCCTTTGGGGTTATCTTTTCTATGAACAGATACTATTTGCATCTTTAACATAGAAAAAAATTTGCAACTTATCAAACAAGATATCTGACACAAGAGTCAGAATCCTTATCAATGAGAAACAATAAAAGTTACAGCCCTTAGGTAAGGGGTCGGCAAACCTTGCCTACTAAGAGGCAGACATTGAGGAGTGTGTGAAGCTTGGAAACGTAGACAATATCAACTGAAGGAGCGTAGCTGTGTTTCTTTACAGCTTTATGGACACTAAAACTTGAATTTCACATGTGACAAAATGTTATTCTTCTTTAGATTTTTTCCCAACCACTTAAGATTCTAAAAACCATTCTGAGGTGGAAGCTATGCGAAACAGGTGGAGAGCTGGTTTGACTGAGGACACGGGCCACTGTTTGCCACTCTCCTTCCAGAAGCCGATGGCCCTTGGGCAGACTTGTTGGACAATGCTTTAATGTGTCTTTGAAAAGACAAACAGTAATCTTTTTGGCTTATTTCCAAGTTTTGGATAATTTTTTTCTTTAGCAAGCCCTAGAATAAAAGGAAGACAAAATTTCTAATAGTGGTGGTCTCCCTTTTTGATTGGTATGAGGATTCCTCAACAAGACAACAGGAGTCTTCCAGGGTCTCTCTGTGAAAGTAGCATCTTGCCCTCCCCTTCTGTTCTCTTCTGTTCTATAAATTCCCTCTGTTCACCTGTACCCTTGTTTTTCTCCAGGCAATTCTAAAGAAGGACCCAGGCCACCTTGCAACAATTCTAATTATGAAACTGTATGGATATTTCAGTGGCTTCTTCTTTTTTCAGATAATCCGTCATACATACCTCCCTAACTTCCAGCTCCTAGCCAATAAGCTACTGAGATCCCGTTGCCAATAGCTGTCCGTATCAGGTCTCAAGCAATGATCCTCAGTGTCCTACAGTTCCCTTGTAGGGGAGAACCTACAATAATTTATGACTTTAAACGTGACTAAATTACATGCTAATTTTGAAGACTTCTCCAAATAATTCCAGGATCATCAAATATTCAAGAGCAAATATTCATCCAAAGGTGTGAAATGTATCATCTCAGTCAACCATCTCAGCTTTCCCACTGAGTGGTCCCATCTCTGCTCCTAAATGTGTCAGTGTGGGATGGATGCTTCAAAATAGACCCAAGCTGGTTGGTAACCCCTCCTCAGCTAGGCATGTTAAAGCTCTCAAGTTGTCATGGCCGAATTAACGCACACAACTCCCTACTACCTTGTAGAAATTTGGGCCAAAATAAAAATTCTAAACAACCTGAGAGTGTCCTTGCAGATCCTCAATTCCATGTGACTCAGGTCTTGTTACAATACTCTTGTATTACAGGAGATACAATGGGTAGGGACATTTTGGCCACTACTTTATTAATGGATTAGAGTCTAGCATTGGAAGCTAAGGGAAAAAGCTTAAAGTTCTATTAGCAAGTAGCCACTCTGGATATAGCAGAACACTGTCAACAAAATATCTTAAGAGGACAATAAAAAATTAATAATAATAAGAAGAAGAAATTTAAAAAATATTTGCCCCTTCAAATTCCTAGCCAGGCAAGCCCAGGCAGGCATAAAAACCCCAGAGACGTCTGAATTGATGTAAATTCAGGTTCAAAAAGCTCAATGTCATCATTGCACACGGTGTGGTCAATAGAAAAAAAATTAATCCCAAATTGACACAATGAACCTTAACAAAATTGTGTTCAGAGAAATTTTTCTAGAGGCAGTTCTCAAAATAATTAACTTCTCTTTCCCCTATCACAAGGCAAAAAAAATGGGCTTAAAAGGGAACAGTGGCTCGTGTTTATTATGATAAGGAGTGAAAGATATACAAATATGTACCAGGCCAGCCTCTGTAAAAAAAAATTAATATTATTTGGTAAATAAATAAAAGATTTATCTACAGTCTAAGTTCTTTAACTCTCTTGATTACAGTAAATAACTGAATGAATTAAATTATTTTATTAGTTTTTAAAAATACAGCTATGTGTCTTTTTTCTGGCACTATACAGTGTAGGCCTAATATCATTTAACTTTACCATTTTTGTAACTAAAGACTTGGAATTATTTTGTCACAGAAAGCCTAATTAATTGGACCTTCCTAAATTTGTTAGACTTGTCTTATAGGTCAGTAAGTAATTATTACTTAGACTAAAATTTTAAGAAAATAAGAAAAATGCTCCAATCTCCCATTATTGGAGTAAAGACCCGTGGTAATGTGTCATAATCAAAGAAAATATTATTTAACTCTAATTTTTGCAATACATTTATTGCAGGGTACTTTATAGAGGGAATTAGAAGTTAACTTCCTCAAAAAATATTTACAGCAAATTTTAGGTGGCAATTCCTTATAACGACCTTTAATAAAAGTGGAGTGTCCAGGGGCCGGCCCCGTGGCATAGCGGTTAAGTGCACGCTCTGCTGCTGGCGGCCTGGGTTTGGATCCCCGGCGCGCACAGTTACACTGCTTGTCAGGCCATGCTGTGGTGGCGTCCCCTGTAAAGTGGAGGAAGATAGGCACAGATGTTAGCCCAGGGCCAGTCTTCCTCAGCAAAAAGAGGAGGATTGGCATGGATGTTAGCTCAGGGCTGATCTTCCTCACACACACACACATACAAAAGAAGTGGAGTGTCCAACAATAAAATATAACTTGGCATCTGTATTTTTGGTTGAGGGAAGAAGCACATGCTTTGAAATGAGATAAGCAGGGTCAATTTTGACCGTCTGTTTTGAACGTGGTGTGCTTAAATAGTCAGACATTCCCTGACTATTTAATTGTCTTATTGCAATGCGATCAAGTTCCACTCCTTTAGTTTTCTCTCTCCCATCCTTCTATTCTAAGTCCATTTGACCATAGAAATAGCCAGGAATAGCTTTCATTTCAAGTCATCTTGTTTCTTCTTCAGTGTTCACTTCCGATTGTATCTATCCTTTCATTCTGGAGACCCTACTGAAGATGACTTAAGTTGAATATAATTGGGATTTATTGAAGAAAAATCTTGTCCAGTTTTCCACTGTCCCTAGAACAATGCTGCACATTATGAACATATTCTAGTTGACAGAATGGCCATCTTTCCTGGAATCCTGGAACCCTCACAACCTATGAAATAGATTTTATTATTTCTGTTATAGGACGAGCAAACTATAAGATGAAGCCCCTAACCCTACACACCTTCCTTGGTGAAGGGAGTATGTTCAAATCTTGCTCTAAAGAGACATGGGTCTCACTTTCTGTCCTCTATA